AGTTTGAATTCAAACTATCAATTTTCAACGGTTTTATATGGGATCCTAATTATTCCACAATTATTTTTAAAAGATTATTAATTTAAACCTTTATATGATAATGTGAGCTTAGGAGCAATCCTTGCTCATACTTATGATTGTTTGTTGTGATTGTATGGTAAATTTTGGTAATGTCAAGGTGGACATTGCACCTAACATGATCATGCTCACACATCTCATACCAAACTCATATACATATCCAATTCTCAGTACAATCATATAAAACTTTCACAAACTTCACTGTTTTGAAATCATTTTACATGCATAAAAATTATATTTCACAATATGTAATGTTATCAAATTATTCCGTTACCTCAATCCTTTGTCACACAAAAGGGTTACCATGGTTAAACATTAGCTCTAGACATTCTATATGCATGATAAAGCTTAAGCAACACTCAATCTTCCCAATTAAGTGACAACTATCAATTATCACTCTGGATAAACCTTGAATTCACTACGTTTCAATACCTATAATTCTTAAATTCCATATTTAACAACATCAACCCTTCTAAAACACTCTAGTAATCCTAATTAAAATTCAAATATACTAAAATCATCATCCAACGATCCACATTGTCCAACATCTCTCAAATTATGGTTAAGGTTTGTCTAAACCCTTAACAAAAAATCCAAGTCACCATAAAATCCATAAACTTAGGGTTGGAGACTTGATTTAACTTTTCAAGACATTAAATAAGTCAATGAGTTTGGTTTATACCTAAAGGAACCAAAATTATAGCCCTCATTACCCCAAAAGGTAGAAATTTTGCATAATTAGGGAGGAGAGGGATTAGGGAACTTATCCAATAATGATTCAAGCTATAAACGCCTCAAAATATTGTTGAAAATCATGTCCTAAGGCCAATTATTATACTATACACATTGTTATTTAATGAATTTTTCTTTTGTTATCATATCAATTGCATGTTTAATATGATAATTGTGTTTTTTGACAAACTATAGTGATTGTTTTAAATGTTCTTAGTCAATCATCTATAAGGGATCATAGATGAAATATGACTAGTATGACTTTAATTAATTATAGAGATACGAATCAAAGTTATAGGTACTTAAAAGAGTACAAGGTACTAGACCAACATGTTATGAGAAGTTGCATGGTACAAGTCATAAGCTTGTCTTATATGTAACTATATTACTAAGCCCTTTGACCTGAGACCACCATGAATTTCTACATGATGACCACTGAACTTTAACTTAGTCAAAAGTCACCTTTGATTATGTGATCATAAAGGCTATGATTGAGTTTAGTGATATTCATGTAGAGGAATATGAGTAGCCAAGATGAAATTTATCCTTCACATTAAGTAAGAGATATTACCGGGCCCCTCGATAAGTAAGACTGAGAAAATGTATGGCCATAATATAATGGAAAGGGTTTTTCTATTACTACTGTCAGTCTACTCAGAGATTAAGAAAGTAACGGTCAGGTAAAGGAGAATGACAATTTCATGTCTCGTACTTGATCGAAATATCGTGTGACAAAAGGGATGTGATATAGTTGCATGATAGGTTACATTGAATCATCGATCCCCATGTGAATTGGGTAGTTGCAATGTCTTGCCAGAGGCCACTTGTGACTTGTGGGCTAATAGCGCAATTAGCCTATTACCAAATTCATATGGGCCTACAGGGTCGAACACAAAAATAGCCCAAGTTAAGCTATAATATCTAAGTTCATTAAATTTGCAATATGTTTAGATTCAATGAATGTAATATAGGTGAATGAATTATATATATATATATATATATTTGAACATTTATTTGATAAGTATTTGTATATATATTTATATATATATAATATAATATGTATATGTGATATGTATTATATTATATTATATTATATTGTGTTATTTTTAAATTTAATTTTATATGATAGATTAAATTTAATAACTAATATGATATGATAGAATATCATGTCAGTTTTATAATTTAAATTTATAAGATAAATTTGAATTAGATATTGATATCATGGATTAAATTTATAAGATAAATTTAATTAAATTTTTGTGGGCTCTTCAGAGTAACGACACCTCAATTACTTGTACTAGGAGAAACCTGTAGTCTAGGAGTGGTTTAGAATGCCTTGGCTGGGTAGTTTTACCATAGAAGGTGAGCTTGTTGACCATACATGTGGTTTAGTTTCGTGAAATAGCTTACGATTCAGTCAAGAGTATTGGAGGATTGGATGATTTGCAATCATGCATTTTATTATGGTGAATTGTATATGGTGTGTTTGTTATGCATGTTTTAAAGCTTGTTTATAACTTAGCGTGTTAATTGATATTATAGATTATCTTAGTTACTGAGATTTTTATCTTATCCTATGGTTATTATTTTACAAGTTCTACCACTGAGTTTGAGCAGGGGGAAGGAATTGGGCAAGGATTAGTAGATTTGCTACATTACAAATAGTAATGCCTGATTCTGTTTGAGTAGTGTACATAAACTTAGTGATATGATATTATGAGTTGCCAATTAAGAATACATGCCATTTTGATTGGTTGCACTGGTATTATATTATGCTATTTTGTATTTCAGCCTAATCTTGTATATGATATGAATATATGGTGATTTTTATAGTGATGGGCTAAAATACTAATACAAGTGCAAGAAATGTTGTATACATGTGGTGATAATGTATATGTGATATATTATGTGGCAATAAAGGCTAAATGGTGTATGTGGTATGGATTTTGTGTTTTTGGACATATTGGGTGAAATTGGCATTAAGTGGTCAAATTTTATGTTTGGTATGTTTAAATGCTCAATCAGGTATATTTTGGTCCATTTGATTTGGTTTAAGCCTTAAATTGAGTTAATAGTATAAGTTTTGAGTTTTGGGTACTTAGATGCTTGAAAATCATTTTAAAAATTGAGTTTTGCATTCAAGTGTCTAAAATTAAAAAGCATAAAATTAATGTTATCAAGTTATAGTTTGTATTCGGTCACATGAAAAAAATTAATTCTATACTAGAAATCAAAAAGCATAAAATGGGAGCATGAGAAGCCATCGATTCGGAAAACTGAAAGAAAGAAGACGACGAATAGCGCGATCTTATCTAATTACTTCCCCGTGCTTTCCTTTTTTTTACCAATTAAAAGTCATGCGTCCGCTGGACACTAATTCGCCCGACGTGAGGTGTTGTCTCGTGCAGATCACTTGGCCAAAACACAACTTGGGGTCCATCCATGTATGGGGAGCGTGCAAATTGGGCTAATTTGCTATTTTGTGACTATGGTGGGGTCTATCGCGTCAAGGGGAAAAAAAAAACCTTATATTTTAATAAAAAGATAAAACTATCCTTAATGACCCTAATTGAAAACAATATTGAAAGACCCAAAATTAATATAAATAAAAATTTTAAAATGTGATTCTTAACTTGACCTTGAAACATGTCCATATTCTTCTATTCAAAATAATATTCATTAATTATTTTAAATTAAATACAGAAAATCTACACAAATAAAATAGAATTAAATGGCAAATGTGTAAAAATATCAAAAATATCATTTATATTTTAAAATTCAAAATTTAGATAGTTAAAATTTAAAATTTCAAGATTGTCTAATAAAATTAAATGATATCCAATTAAACTCAATTAGCTTTAAATAAATATTTAAAAATTTAAATTAAAAGGATAAAAATATAAAAAATTTCCATTTATCAGTTACATTTTTTTTTAAAATAAGGTTCAAATCGATAATTGGGGGAAACTTAAAGAATTGATTCCATAAAAATTAAACTTAGAGAATTAAATTAATAACTGAGGTAAACTTTAAAGATTAAAAAAATGTTATCCCTATATTATTTTCATTTTCATTTTATATTTTTCAAAATAAAATTTGTGAAAATTATAAATTTTTTTGATAAATTTGCTCACCACCAATCTATGAAGGTAGTTTAAATTTAATTTCAATGATCCCATTTTAATTTAAAATTTTTTATAATTTTTATAAACCAACGCTCTAAAATGTAAATTTATTAGCACTTTCTACAACATAAATTTTTTAAAAAAATTATAAATTAAAAGTTTTAAATCTAGACCCCCTAGAAAAAGTCCTTGACGAGCTTCTCGATCGGCTATTGCGCAACAAGTAACAGGTAATCTTGATGATGGAATGCATTGAACCAAGAAACACGCTTAGCTCTTAAAATGTTTTTATCTTGGCAAAATATCAACTGAGGAAGTTTATATCATTTAAGGATTAATAAATTTGTAAATTTCACCACAGTTCATTGATCCTTAATTGATATTACTTTTGTTTCAACAAAGACCGAAATGCCCTTAAATTTAAAATTTAAAATGTGTTGTTGTTATTCTTGAATAGATTTTTGTCAAAAGGTGAATAAATTATTGTTAATGTAAAACCAATATTTGTAAATCTAAGCCCTTTTCATCATTTTTTAAAATTACAAAATACAAAATGACTTGTTATTCTCAAATGAGTTCTTGTCTGAAAGCGAATGGATTATTATTAATGTAAAACCAACACTTATAAATTTAAGTCTATTTTGAACTTGTTAAAATGAAAATTAATTGTTGTTAATATCAAATATATTGTCAAATTTCTAATAACACTTTAGGGGCAGTTTAATCTTTTTCTTACAATAAAATTAATATCAACTACAGACCAATAGATTGCAATGAAATTTGCAAATCTACTAAAATTTAAATGATTTAAATTGCTTTTAAAGATCCTTGATTGAATTCTTTTCTTTTTTTTTTTCCATGAGATCCATGACCCTAACCACGAGATGATTGGCCAACAATTTCAAAACATTAAATCTTATAATAAAGTAAAATTGCAAGGTATCAAATTATTAATTTATTGAAGAATTGGTTGTCAAAGATAATTGAGATACTTAGTGCCCATGTGCTCTTTTCTATATCATAATCATATAAAATAGTATATCAATAAGATTTTTCCATTCCGCTATGGCTGTCTTTGCTCTGATGGTTGAAGAGACTTGTCAGAATGATGCTGCAACCAACGATCCAGATCCTCTCAAAAGCATCGTAGCTCAGCGTCCCAAATCTCAGCCCTTTAATAAATATTCAATATCTTATATTTTATCATACCATCTCATATAAAAATAATTTTATTTTAAAAATCAATTCTTTTATTAAAATAATTTTTTATTTCATTCTATATTTTCAAAATTTATTCTAAAAAATTACTCTATAGATTTTTACAAAAGAATTTATAGTCCAACTTATTCAAACTCGACTTAACTTATTTAATAAAAATATATTTAAAGAATCTATAGAATAAGTTAGACTTTAAATAGGTATTTATAGTCTTATTTATTCAAACTCTGAAATGATCTATTTATTAAAATTCTATTTAAAAAAATTTGCAAAGTAAGTTATACTTTAAGCAAGTATTTACAGTTTGACTTATTCAAACTCTGACATGATTTCTTTAATAAAAGTCTATTTTAAAAAATTTACAAAGTAACTCAGATTGTAAGTAGATAATTATAGTTTGGCTTATTCAAACTCTAGTTTGATTTATTTAAAAAAATTTAAAGAGAAAATTTTTTAGAATAAGTTGAAAGAATTAATTTTTAAAATAAAATTATTTTTATATCAAATGATGTAGCAAAATATGAAGGGTTGAGATTTGGGACGCTGCTTTTGAGAGGATCTAGATCCTGCAACCAACTGCACTCTAAATTTATAAAATATTTTAAGATAAAATCACATGTTAATAAAATTTATTAAATATATTTTACAATTTTATTTTTTTAAAATAAAAATATAAATTTTTAAAAATAATTTAATACTCTACTTATAAAAAAATATTAAAGAAAAAAAATATAATGAAAAGGTATATTATAAAAAAGTATCATTGATAAAATATTATTTTTATCAAAATATTTTATATTTTAAAATGATAAATATTCATAAAAATATTTTATAAATTGAGATGGGGGTAGTTAATTAATCATAAAAATAACAAGTACAAAAGATAACAATTACAATGAGGACGACAATTATGTGGATGTGTTACTTAATGAATGTCTCACATGATATAATAGAAATTGTTTGATTTAGGGTTTATTGTTAGATATTTTGTCATGCAATATTCAGAAAGTATTAAATTTTAAACATTTAGATAGAATAACATACATCATTAGTGTTCTGATATTAACTAATGGTCAAAGTGTTATGATGAATCCTAAACTTATTTTTAATATTATGTTGCCCTTTAACTTTTTAAAATTGTGTAATAGTTACGCCTACCATTAAAAATGTTTGTGTTAAACATTAGTTGACCAAAAATTATAAAAATGATATCAAAAATTACCTATTAGTTACATTTTTATAATTTTTTATATCTAATAATTATTAAAGTTAATTTTTGATATCAGTAAGTTAACATTACATCATTTTTAAAAGTTAAAAGAAATACATAAAAAATGAATTTAAAATTCTAGGTGCTCTTGACTTATATTTTAAGGAAAAATTACCCTTTAACCCATTTTAAGGAAAATAACATATTTTTTTATATAATGATAACAAATAATTAACTTAATCAATCTTTTTAATTTTAATAAATTAATTAACTATATCATATATTTAGAATTGAAGGGAGTGTTATGCTATTATAAAAATTGACTGAAAATTAATTTATTATCAAAAGCACTGGACAGACGGAAAGGAAGTGCAACTGCTGCCACCTATTTTAAAACTTTCTCATATTTATTTTGTAAACTTTCAAACCACGGGCTTGAATTAATCATATTTTTTGAGAAGTTATTTTTTTAAAATTTTTAAAAAGTAATATTTTTTAACCAAAAAAATGATAATACTAAAGAAAAGCATAATTTTTTATTTTTAAAAATAAAAAATAACAAAAAAATTTCACATATACAAATCACAATTAAATATTGTGAGATGTAATATTTATTATTTAGTTTTTAGGGATTTGTATAATATTTTATTTTTGATGAAATAATATTTGCCGTCAGTGTATATTATAATAAATGACTGATCTTGCGTTATTGACTCAAATGAAATTAAAAAAAATGATTATTTACTCTCCGTAAATTTGTGATTGATAAAGGAATTTGCAAACAGAAATTAGCCATTTCCTATTTCATTTTAACCAATAGTTCAATTAAAGTAATCATTTTTTATAATCGTCATTAGTTCAATTAAAGTAATCATTTTTTATAATCGTCATTGGTGATAAATACATCATTTCATAAAAAATTAAGATGTCAGACAAGTTTTTTGGACTAAATAACAATTACTCCATTTATTTAAAAATTTAAAGTATTTAAACTGAATCTTACTCCAATATATTAGTTAATTATCTCAAAATTAAGACAATATTTTTATATTTATCCTTATTTAATTAATAAAATATTTCACTTAAATATAAATATAAATTTATTTATTTATTAATGATACTTTTGAAAAAAATACATTAATTATGCTTTAAAAAAATAAAAATATTTTATATTTTTTAATATTTAACCCTATAAAACTTATCTTGTATTTTTTAATGGAGGGAGTATCATATTTTGCAATACTTAACTATCATTAGCATATTTTTGGAATATTTTTTATGATTTTTTTAATTAAAAATTATAAAAAAATAAAATATTTATTGTAATAAAAAACAAAAAAATTATAATCTTTTAAAAATTTAATATATTCACAGCAAATGAAAACAAATGGCATCTTGAGATGCGCCTCTTCGCACTTGCCAAACCAGAGGCTGTTTCTCAGTCTGCCTACGGATAATGTTCACGAAGCTTCACTCTACGTCCATGGCGTCTTCCAATCCCTCCCTGAAAATACATGAGCTCTGCAGAATATCTCCGCCACCATCTTCACCCAAGTCCTCTTTCTCTCTCTCCTTCTTCGACTTGCTTTGGCTCAGATCTCATCCTGTCAAGCGTCTCTTCTTCTTCTCTGTTCCTCACTTACAATCTTCTTCCTTCTTCGATTCCATCGTTCCCAAGCTCAAACGCTCCCTCTCTCTCTCTCTCTCCAACACTTTATTCCTCTCGCCGGAAATATTATTTGGCCTTCCGATTCCGACTCAGTCAAACCCGTCGTCCGATACGCTCCAGGAGATGCTGTCTCTCTCACCATAGCAGCTTCTGATTCTGATTTCAGCCATTTCTTGGATAACTCACCTCGCGACGCCTCCGAGTCTCGTGCTTTCGTGCCGAACTTAGATTCATCTGATTCATCTGCTTCGGTTCTTTCGCTGCAAATCACTCTGTTTCCCGACAGCGGATTTTGCATAGGCATCAGCGCTCACCGTGCCTGTTCGGATGGAAAATCTTCATCTATGTTCATCAAGGCCTGGGCTTATCTATGTCGAATAACATAACCTGATGCTGAGAGTGAATCTTCTTCTGGTTTGCTCCCTCCAAAACTTCAACCATTCTTAGACAGGGAAGTTATCCTCGATCCACGTGGACTTTGCCTCTGCATACATTAATGATCAGACTCAGAAGAACCGGCCAAGCTTGAAGATTTTATCCGAAGTGTTCCGGCCGAAAGTGGACGACTCGGATCGAGCCATATTCGAGCTTAGACGTGGAGTTTTGGAGAAGATAAAGGAAAGGGTATTACAGAAATGGGAGAATCATCACAAGGTGAAAGAAGAGATCCCAGAAGAATCATTAGCACTTTCAAAGCCTCAAACTTTATCAACCTTTGTGCTCACAACTGCTTATGTTTGGGTCTGCTTCGCCAAAGCCATGGAAAGAATAACTGAACAGAAGACAAAGAAAGTGTTATTGGGGTTCGTAGTTGATTGCAGGAACAGGTTAGAGCCTCCAATCCCTGAAAACTATTTTGGAAATTGCGTGATGTCTCAAGTGACAGAAACACTTCTCGAAAACCTTACCAATGAAGATGGGATAGTGATAGCAGCTAAGAAAGTACACGGAAAGACAATGAAAATGCAGAAAGAGAACGGCGTGCTTCATGGAGCAGAGACGTTGTTCTCAAAGTTTTCTTACGCGAGAAATGAAGAGAACCGAGCTATATGCATAGGAGTAGCCGGGTCGACGCGGTTTGGGGTTTATGGAGCGGACTTTGGATGGGGAAGGCCTGAGAAGGTGGAGATAACGTCGGTGGACAGAAATGTAACAATGGCGATGGCAGAGTGTAAAGATGGTAATGGAGGGGTGGAAGTTGGACTCGTTCTGAAGAAGAATGTGATGGAACAATTTGCTTCGCTGTTTCGATCGGAGATGGAGTCTTTTTGATATTCAACTACAGAAAGAGGCAGATGAAACTATCTTTGTTTGAATAATTCATAAATAATAATTTCGCTTCTAAAATGTTGCAATTTTTTGTTTTCTTGGGTTGATTCTTCTTCTCGATCTGTACGCGTGTTGTGGTTTGATTCACCAAATTTTTTTTTTTTGAATGCATGACCACAGAAAATTTGTGCTATTATCAAAATACATGATATTTTTGCATCTAGGGGGCGACCCATCAAAAATCATTAAGTCAAGATTATCATTAGATGCTTGGTGAATAAGTAAATCTGCACATCAATTTACTTTCCTAAACACATGTTCAAAGTAATTGTCTAATTTTTTATAGTAAAATCCCTAATCTTTTTGATATAATTATACTGAGAATGATTTTGTGAGAATTTGTGTTGAATCAAGGACAAAGATCAAAGAGATCCCAATAGATGTTAATTTTGATTAGTTTAGTATTCCAACAAACCTTGAAAGCCGTGTTAGTGTGATGATAATCAAAATATTTGAAAAATTTTTTAATTTAATTTTCATGGCAGTCATGAATCAAGCCTCCATGAGTCACAACCTTATTGATATTAACTGATCTATCAACACTGAATCTAGTCTAGCATATGAACAGATTTCACTCTATGAATTTAAGATATTTTAGGCAATGGATTTCGTTCAGTGATGAGCATCATGCTCAGCACCAATACCCTATCATTGCAGAGTTAATTTTTTTTCTTTTTTTTAATCACAAAGTTATTATTATAATAAAAAATAAATTTTATAAAATTATTATTTTAATATGAAATAAATATATAAATTTAACTTGTGAAAGTTTGATTTGAACAGTTTAAATATAAATTTTGACTTGAATAGTTTAAAAACTATGAAAAAATTAGAACTGTAATTGAATTTTTTTTTCTTAATTTTATTGATTTTGCTCGTGTCCATCTATTAGAGGTAATATTATTCAAAGTACATCGAGTGTATACACCTTTTCCAATAAAGATTTAAATATTGATATGTCATGATGTGAATAATTAGTTCATTTTGTTTGATCCAACCTCATTCTAAATTATTAAGTCAAAATTTATATATAAACTATTAACATAAAATTTTAATAGGGTTAAATTAATTTATTAAATATTAAAATAATAATTTTATAATATTTATTTATTATTATAATAATAACTTTGTGATTTAAAAAAAGGAAAAATTACCTTTGAAATTGAGGGAATTAGCAAGATCAGATCCGGATGGTTTAAATTTATAGTTTTTATTTTATTTTTCCATTAAAACTAATTTTTTTAAAATTTAAAAAAATATGTTTTATCACCAATAAGAGAAATTTAGGTTTATTTTGAAAAATATAAATTTAATGTTAAAATTTATAATTTTTATAAATTAACTACATATATTTACTTTAAATGGTTCATATTTAAAATTTTTAACTTAATAACTTTTTAAAGAATATTTTTTGAAAACTACTCCATATAAGTTTACAAACAAAGCTGAGGACGAGGTTGATAACAGGATCACTATTTAAGGCTCTTTGAAATTTAGGAGCCTTTTTTTTTTGTATAAACCATCCGATATCCTGGGGTATCTTGAGTTCATTACTCATTCCAGACTAATCTGAACCTTCTGTGAGGAGACCTTATGGTGGTAGCGAGATACTAATGAAATGATCTTTTTAGGGTCGCATTAATTATTGCATCTGTCACTCATCAGGGTTCGAACCTTCACCTTGAAGAATGTTAGTAGTAGCCCTTGCCAACTTTATCGAGCACTCATTGGTACTTTGGGACCTTTGGGTTCTCTTTTATTTCATTGAGTGAAAATACCCCTACAAGTCCCATTAATTTACACTGATTTTTTAACCAGACTCCTATTGTTTTAATTGAGCCTTTATACTTTAAAATGTTAGGTCCATTAGTCCCTTCTCTCATTCTCTCTCTGCCCCTCTTTCCATTTCCCTTAACAAAGTCTAACACACAATAAGAAAATAGAACCTTTGTTGTTGTTGTTTTTTTTTTTTTTTGGTTTGGTCACTCCATAAAAATTGGATCTTATGAGAGGAAAATGATGAGGTTGTCCACTAACAAAAATGAATGTAGAGCTCAGTGAAAACCCAAAAGTGACAGAGATTTGAGTTACAGAGACATATCAGGAGGGAGTGGGCAGGACCACCGAATTTATGCAAAAGAGGAAGGCTGATTGTTGTATGCAATAGTTTCAGAGTTGTTTGATGGAATGGTGTCGTTATTGACAATGATAAATCACACAACATTATTGTTCATAACATGTAACAAGAAGAATCTCTCATGGTCTTCACAAATAGTGCAAAATTCCTTGTATTTATTTGAGTCCCTCAACTATATTATTGAGTTAATATATTATATTAAGTATGAGTAGAGATATATGTTACCCATATCAGCAATTTTCAAACCATGTTAGAAGGGAAGGATTAACGGACTTAACATTTTAAAATATATAAGGACCCAATTAAAACAATTAAGGGCCCATTTGTTTAATATTAAAAAATAAATAATTTTTAGGTAGTTTAGAGATTTTATAAAAAGATATTTATTTTATAAAGATTTTATAAAAAATAGTAATTATTTTATGTTTCATTACGATAATAAAAAATAATTATTAGTTAGTTATTTTTAAATTTTATGATATCTTCCTTATTTTTTTTATAAAAATAATTTATTATTATATTATTTTAAAATTTTATAATATCATTGCATATCTTGCCTTTTTAAAACACCCTCTCTCATTTATTGCATTAGATTATTTTCAAAAGTTACTCAAAGTATCTTCTTAAAATAATTAAAAATATGCTTTTTATGTTATTTTCAAAATTTTAAATAAATATAATAAAAACTCACAAAATAAATAAATAAATAAATAAATACTATATATATATATATATATAATATTAGGAGTCCTAAGCACACTTGTCGGCATATTATGAAGTCACATTAGCTCCTCTTTTTTCGCTTGTGTTGACACATGTGCATATGCTGAATATTTTCCCAATAATAATTATGATCATGAATTAATTTCCTCATTTGATAATCAACTCTAATTTAAGGAAATTATAATCATGGGATAAATTTGTGGGCATGTTAAATTCATGGATCCATTTGATTGCAACATAATTATGATCATGATTACTGAATCCATTTTGTGAGGATATTTTCTAATTGATTGTAATGTAAATATATGTCTTATGTAGAAAATATTTTATTAACAGTGCATGAGAAGATATTTTCTAAATGATTGCAATTGGCCAATCAGGATATTTTATTAATAGTACACAAAAGTCATTTGATTGCAACATAATTATGATCATGATTATTGAGTCCATTTTGTGAGGATATTTTTTAATTGATTGCAATGTAAATATATGGTCTTATGTAGAAAATATTTTATTAATAGTATATTTTATCAATATTGAGCCAACTCAATGTAAATAAATTAATTTTTCAAAATTTTATTATCTCTATTACTCCTGTCATTTTTATTAAATAAAAAATCGTGCAACGTATGAGATTAAATTTACTTTAACAAAAATACATTTCAATTATAATTTAAATGATTTTTTGAGAAAAATACAAACAAGCGAGTAATTTTTCTACAAAGGAATTTACTCATAGCCAATTAGAATTTTTGTACTAGGAAATGAAATTTTGAAAATTGTACCCAGAATTATCTGAAGGACTAATCATACTGATGTTATTCTGCCCCTCACTGTGCATTCTACTATCCCAATCACAAACTCCACGCCATGTTGATGTAAATACATCCTATCCCATAAAATATATGGTCTTGTAGCTAAAAAAAAAAAAAAAAACTCCACTCTGGTTGGTTGATGGAGCTTAGTCTAATGTAAATACTGTTCGCTCATTAGTTGATTCCATTTAATTTCATTTAATATTTTCCCATCTTCTGATGTTTCCTCGTATGGATTTCATATGTGCATGGCCACCAATTAATCACTACTTTCACGGGAGCATTAATTGATGCGTTGTTATTTAGTCTACTATTGTTTCCCCTTTGGCCAAAAAAATACTATCGTTCCCCCATGTTCCATCTTCTATGGTAATTCCCATCCTTCTGGTTCAAATTTCAAATTTCAAAAGATATTAGATCATTCTCTCCATTGAATTTTATTTTTACTCAAAATGGGTTTCTCTCTCTATTTTCTCCTTCTCTTGCCGCTTGAGTTGAGGAAACTTTCCCTTCAATTTCATCAGGCCTTCTATGATCTTCCAAATCTTGCATACATATATGTTACAGTGATGCTTGCTTGAACTCTGGCTCTCTCACCATTAAAGTACTATAGTGGTGACGTTTTGGTGCTATGTTCATCGGTTGGAGCAAGTAAGGGTTCCAACTAGCAACCCTCTTCCATTTTACTGCTGCCTTTTTACTCCAGCCTTTTTATTTCAATTTTTTTTTTTGGTTAAGCTTTTTAAGACATACGACTGCTCGCTATCATTTTGGGTGGGATGGTTAATTAGGGACACTAATGGGGTGGAGGAGTTTTGTGCCTCTTTCTGGCCATCGTTAGGGGAGAGGACATCTGGTTGGGTGTGAGCGTGTGTTTTGGCGTTATCGTCAGAGATGGAGATGTTCATTTTTTTTTTTATAGAAACATAGATGTTTGAACTTATGACAGAAACAAAAATGTATAACATTGACCATGGACAGGAGACGAAGATTTTGTTGGGGGATGTAGCCACTCTTCCCGATGGTGAGATCACACGATCATCTCTTGAATGTTTTTTTTTTCCCCCTGGATTTCACTCCCTTCTCAAAATTCAAGCGGTTCTTTTCCCATCGATGTGATGCACTCTCTCAGAGTTGAACGTATTTGTTGTCTCAAACTCTCACTCGTGCTTGTTTCATCATCAAACAATTTTGTGAATCCAAAGTTGAGCTCAATGTCTCTATAGCCAAGTTGGTGGTGGTGGGTGAGAGCTTTGAGTAGTAGTTTTAGGAGCCATGCAGAGGAGTGATTTTTGTATATCAATTTGAGAAGGTTTGTTTATAGATTATGTAGTTGTGGTTTT